TGAGCCAGCTCAAAAAATGGCGGAGTCACCCCTTACTAAATTTTGAAAATCCTGTATCTCCTTACCCGTTGGGGTACAAACGAAACTAACGGTGGTACAAACGGATACAAACGATTCTAAATTCATCCCTGCAAACAGAATTTAAATTACTCCAAGTTGGGTGCTAGGGGTTTTTTGACCCCCTGTAATTTCGAATTCTTTGAGGTACAAACGAAAATTAAAGTGGTACAAACAGGTACAAACGGGATACAATCGAATCGCGTTTTGAAAGTTATAATATTTTTAATTCGGGTGCCAGGTTCACATAGGTTAGATTTGCCTATATGTATAATCCCCAACAAGCAGTTCATAATTAGGTTCACCGACCATGAGCTCTTCATCACAACTGACAAAGACTATCTGGTCAACTGTCGACAAACAAGACGCTTCGATGTTTGTCCACCCAACCAACCTCTTTACCGCAGTAACGGGAGACCCAGCTGCGAAAGTTCTCTATTGATAAACCCGAATAAGGAAGTACTTCCTAGTTGCGACATCAGGATAGAGTCAACTGCAGATACCGTGTGAATTTACCTAAACGGACTCAAAGGATGGCTCTTCGCAGCAATAGAGACTGAGGATCTGAACATTGTTTGCGAAGGAAACCTCAGTGTAACGATAAAAATCAGTGGGGGCGGGATCCTGCAGCTGCGACCAGGTTGCAGCGCTCGCACTGATGACATGAATCTAATAGAAATAACTGGAAACCCGGAGCAATATTTCTATGAACCCTTAGTTTCGTTAGACATCAACGAATTGGTCCCTGGATTGCAGAAATATTATACCAGGAATAACGCGATAAAATCGGAAATACGGAAGCAGCCTAAGGATGCGACTACCCTTAAATTCCGGGAGAATGAGATATTCCTCAACTAGCTGAGCGACGAGTTGAACGAGATATAAACACATCACCGAAAAACGCGTGGGCATAAGATAATGACATATACCGCTCTAGGAGGAATCGCACATCTGGGTGTCGTGTTACTCGGGTACTAGAATAGATCCCGGCTGATATCGAAGATCTTTATACAACCGTGCACTCGTAAAATTTGGCGGAACCCACAGCATGAAAATTCATACGTTGAAGCGTAAATCAGAGACATCGCAAATTCGGAACCTGTACTCATTACCGCGAATCGTACTTTACTACCACAAATAGTTACGATATCTTAAGGAAAGTAAGCGAAATGAGAGATAAACGAAGTATATATATTGAGACGTTACGTGATTATGGAGATTTAGGAATCACGAGACTTTTTATAGGGTTTGTGCACTGGGCAGGCATCTTTAGAGGTAATTAGACACTTGAGTTTTAAAATAAAACGATGATGATATATTGTCGTACAGATTACAGTGTAGGTATTCTTAATATTCTATTTTACTCTCCCACACACATACACACACTTATAATTGTCTCTAGTTTGATTGTCGTACCGCAAACAACAAGAAGTGTTTTTATTTACTTATTCTCTCTTCTAATCTTTTGGAATAGAAAGAGGTAGCTGGAACCACAATACAGCAGACAGCACAATGCGTCCGATGACCGTGGTCCAGTTGAGGGTAAGAATGATAATGGTTCGCCCAGTCGACTATCTTTGGGATTGGGGATGAGAGAGCTGTCGCCACAGTACAGCAGAGTGCACAATGCGTCCAAAGTCTGTGGTGCAGCGGGCAATGCGTGTAGCAAAGATTCAGAATCCACAGATGATCACAATGATCTCCGTTCGCTGTACCTTTACCTTGGAAGGGTTTTTGGTGCGATGGATTTTGGATAATTACTGACAGCGCCGGCACGATGACTTTGCTGCAGGAACTCTTTAAGGAGTTCAGGTCTCTTAATAATTGAACTTTCTACAATCTTTACTGCTTCTTGTTGTCTTGTGGTGTACAAGAGTCTGGTTGACTAGTCTAGAAAGACAAGAGTGAGTTTTCCTATCGAGGAAGCCGCTGCTTATACCCTCGATAGGTTTACGTTAAATCTAGTGGGGATAACGATTTTTATCTTCCCGAGACGTTAACGTCGCTGTTTGAATTTAATATTTTGATTTATTATATGATTCGATTATTTGATTTGACTAATTGGATTAGCGGTTTCTTCAAGTACCGGCTTACTGGTATTTCTATTGTGTTCGGCGCGTGCCGGCTTATAGCGTCTGGGCACTTGTTTGTTTTGATTTCAGTCGGTCGACTGTATTTTGATTCTGAGAATATTAAAAGTAATAATTTCTAATATTATTACCTCATGCCTGTCGCTCTGACTAGTTTCAAGAGAGTTATGTAATATACTGGTATTTCTATTGTCGATTTTTATCTTCCCGAGACGTTAACGTCGCTGTTTGAATTTAATATTTTGATTTATTATATGATTCGATTATTTGATTTGACTAATTGGATTAGCGGTTTCTTCAAGTACCGGCTTACTGGTATTTCTATTGTGTTCGGCGCGTGCCGGCTTATAGCGTCTGGGCACTTGTTTGTTTTGATTTCAGTCGGTCGACTGTATTTTGATTCTGAGAATATTAAAAGTAATAATTTCTAATATTATTACCTCATGCCTGTCGCTCTGACTAGTTTCAAGAGAGTTATGTAATATTAGAGATTTAAAGGTCTTATTTTCCCTTTCCTTTATCGGTGTCGCTGTGAGAGGTTGATAGGATTCTTGAGGATTTTTAGGATGTGAGGAATTCTCTCAGATACTGTTATGCACATCCACAGTGCGCTATGTACTCTTATGTGGGGCTCTTGACGTGTCCATCATCGAGAATGGGTAATTAGGAAGGAAAAAGGATAAAGGATAGAGAGGTATAAGGACGGAATGTCACAATATACATATATTGTGACGTTATTCACGTCACGAGTCTAGAAAAATTGACTGTCATGTTTATCATGCGGGCTGTATTACCGTCCCTTAATATCGCGTTACACAAATTATTGGCCAAGAACGCCAGGGTCACAACTTTTGTAAATATCGATCATTAGGTTAATTTTTTTTTGTAAAACTATTTCATGCGTTATGAATTCCGCCACAACATCCAACATCTATAAGTCGTTGGAGGAGAATCGCCACGAGGTTACAGCTGGGATCGTGGAGGACGATCCAAAACCAACAGACGCATCCACCCCGCCGCCGACGACGCCCGAACTGAGTAGGGGGTCGGCATTGAGGAAGGTATCGTCATGGACGGTTCCGTTCTTCTCGTTACGGCCGGTACTGATGTCCCGAAAAGAGAGCATCAAATCCTACCAAATCATTAATATAAATCGAAACTTCGATCAACATTCCATACATCATCAGGACTTGGATAGGACTGAGACACGCCGAACGACCTAATTGAGATTCGATCGCATACTGAGGGAATTCCAAATACTTGTTATACAAAATCAGAGTAAGTACAGACTCATGCCTAAACGAAGTGGTAGAAAAGTTCAATTATGTAAAGTATTCAGACAAGTAGATAAACCATATACTCAAAAACAAACAAAACCAACGAGCCAAAAGGATCTTGACACGACAAAATATCAAGTTAACGAACAAGACAATTCTATTCAATACTTACCGTGGAAATTGATTTCCATAGAATATTCAAGTTTACCAAAAGATTTACCTACTGAAGAATCACTTAAAAATAGAATATTTCCTGATCCGCGAAGACACATCTTGAGAAATTATCACAACTCCAAATCATAAAATTCGATAGGCCTTGTATTAACACGTGGACTGCTGTTAAAGTAGACCGAACCAACGAATCATCCTTTATATTACAAACCTCATTTACGATTGCCTGATTTTCCGGCTTTAGCAATCGTAACACTACCTTATATATTTTCTGTTTTCACATTTTCTCGAATACTTGTACAGCTTTTGTAATAATTATCTATTTTATCGCGAATATTGTTAACGTGTCCCGTAGAGGACCCAGTATCGCGTGATTTTGTATTTTGCGTTTCCTTTGTTCCACGTGTCCCGAAGAGGACCTTGTTTCGCGTGATAATTATTTGATTCACGAACTTATTACATTGTTAATTCTATTTTATTTGAAGTCCCAGAATAAAAGGGCCAATGTGTTGTTTTCTGTTACTGAATTTCATAGGTTCTCAATCTGATTTCTTCTCGCTATCTTTTCCTTTACCTCTTCTTTCTTTAACATCAGCATCGACCCAGCCCCTCTACCATACCTTTTTGATCGTTCCTGCTAGTCGGACCTCTTTTCATATTTTCCGGGGAGTTCCTTTAGGTATCGTGACGAACTATTATTTCGGTATTTCACTAAGTATAGTATTTCGTATTGCGTAGTCCCGGGAAACTCGGAAAGAGTATCGAGTCAATTGTAAGTGAAAGATCGTGTCGCGCCTTAGAGTATCATATTGTCTTTCTATATCTTCTGTCTCTAAAATTGTTTTCTTTCGTTACAATATATATATATCTTTTATTTTTAATATTCTACAATGTTTCCTTTATATACAATCACTGGCCGCGGCACGGGGCCGCGGATTTCTGAGGGATTCCCTCAGCGGAGGGGGCGGGCGCGATGTCGTTGGATGGCCCCCGATTGCGATCAAAGCCACCAGGGCCTCCCCGATGTTGAGGGAGGGGCAGTCCTCCCTAGTGATCGGCGAGGAAACCCCGGTACTCCCATCGGAAGATACCGACTGGCTTCTCTCAGCCACCAATTCCTGAAACAATACAGGAATACATTAAGAACTAATCTATGAAACAAGTTAGAAAAAAGCGAGAGAATACTTATTACCCGCGAAAGACACAAGGAATATCAGGGCACCGCGCTCCTCCCCTGGAAAGTACGGCGCCCCGAACAGCTCCCATAAGAAGAAACTGTTCGCTCCCGACGGGTCTGGGAAGAACCCGTCGACCCAATCAGGAGTCGACCGACGACCCCGGGCCTGCCTCTTTCGGATGAAACCCTCAGGGTGCCGCGACGGGCCTGAAAGGATTTAAAATTTAAAACCACGCGGTAAAACACAACAGGGAAAAAGTGTTATAAATCCTAACACACTTACCAGTTCACGCAATGAAATCATAGGCATGATTGACGAAGAATGGGTCTAACGACCAGGACGCTGAACAAACCGCCCCATGCCCTATTCTTTTGCGAGCAACATTGTTCAACGTAATCAGGTCCTACGTGCACCTAGCTGCTCCTTAATATAAGCTAGAAATAAGATATTAATAACCATAGCATTGTAAGTCCATATGAACGGTCCATGTACGGAATGTTCCCATAGGAGCCCACCAGTGGGTGTAAAAGAGAAGGTACATTGGTTTGCACGAATCCGAGAACTTTAGGACCATGAACTCCAATGTACGTGCCGCTAACGTGGCAAGACTGCGGAAATCAAGAGTAATCTGCGGTGGTCCCATGATTCCAGAATGCACCCAATCGGCAGTTTTCCATCCCTTCTCTGGGTCTAGACATTCCTCGAGCTAGAACCGAGCAGCGAAATGGTCAGTCTACTTAGGAGTCTCATCTAAACCAGTCACACTTTACTCTCATTAAAATTCGAGGCAAAGGCGAACTTAGTGCGGAACAGTTGTCTTAGCCAAGATTGTTGGAATACCTTAGGGCCTATTTTGTCTTCCTTTCCCTAGGGCCGAGTAGTAAAACCCAATCAGTGAATCACGATAAGTTCTACTCCTTCTGAACTCAGTGTCCTTGTGTATAACAACCACTGCACTAGTGTCAGTGCCTACCCTAGCGGCCAGGACAAGGACCATCTTCTTGAAATTTTGGATTGTATACTATTATTTTCGAGAACTCATCTCAGCCAAGTTAAGTTGCCGGTTAAGGAGTTAGAACTCGCTTGAGATTAACAAAACAGAGAAGGTTTATTCAAATGATCGAAAAAGATGTACAGTAGTTCGACGTACTTCGACTTGAATAATATAGGCACCGTTCAGTTTTCCTATTTCCTGTACCGAGTCTACTCCGCGAGACCACCTTATACGTTCAGATACTAATTATAGACTACCCGATTTTCGGAGGTACAGCCATAAGCTGCAATTCCGAAAATGTGCTTATTGTGCGATTTTCAATTTCCACATCTCGGTTGCCAGACCGCTTTTAGTCCTGATTTAGCGCATTGCTACACGCGTGGACTACTTGGCCTGGTGTTTTCCTTGGGGTAAGGAAACTCTCAGCGCAATAATAGCTTCTACCGGTTAATTCACTCGCGATAACAAAAATTGTATAGTAATTATTTAATTACCCTGCAGATAGCAATTTTTTCGATGTTATGAAAAAGTCATCCGAATTGGTTACATATGTCCGCTAGAAACTTGACTTAGTTGACCGCTAACCTGTGTCCGAAAGTTAACTTTCGGACGTCGAATATCGTTAGGATGTCTTTTTGGCGGACATATGTAACACATTCGGATTTTTTTTTTGTAACATCGAAAAAATTGCTACTTGGGTACTGTCCACAACAGTGCATGGCTCTCAACATCTTAGGGTGCAAGTAACCAGCAGATTCCGGGTAAAATTCCGAAAAGTTTCACCCTAAACAGGCTAATTGAAAATCAGTAAATTAGCTTTGATCGGTCTTTCAGTGTATTCTTTATTAATAATATGAAATTGTCATTGAGACGTTACAGTATCTCGGTCATACTGTTTCTTCTGTGATCTATAAGCAGTTAAAAGAAAACTCAGCACATCTGGTTGATATTTGCAATTATTCATGATAAATTTCTCAGGTACGGAGTACTTTTCACACCAAATGTCATAATATTGTTGATTAGAAATTTCGATAATTTCTGTTAGATTGAATTCTGTTTTTAACACCTCCCTCCATACCTGGAATTATAATAAAAATCACTTACTTAGAATTTATTTAATAAATTAAACAATCATAAATAATCATAAATTATAGAATTTTTAAATAGTACATGCGCAATTGTTTATCTTGTGCAGCTTGAAAAAAAAAACACATAAAAGGGTACTAAAGAACCTCATTTTCACGTAAATAGGAAAATGCGGGATTCTTAAAAAACTGAATTACAGTCCGTGATACTACCATTTACTGAACGTAATGAATGATCCAATATTGAAAAAATACGATTCAAGACTAGATGCTTACTCATACGTCTATTTTAGTATTAAAATACGTCTTTTAGTAGTTAAAAGACAACAGTTACCAAGACCATATCCATACGTCTCTTTTAAGACACTTTTACTGAAAAATCATTAAAAGACGATGTAAAAGACGTATATTAGTGGCGATAGCTACATATACCTTTTTTTAAGCGTCTTTTAAGATACTTTTAAAAGCGGTTATGAAAAAAAGATGTATTAATAAGGGCCATATTAGTGTGCATGAAGCGAACACTTCTATTTCTATGACGTGGAACACGCCTTCAGTTCTTGCTTTTTACATGCTCAAAATATCAGGGACGAGAGCCTTATTCTTGAATTAGATAATGTATTTATCCCAGTTATTGGGTATTACCTCATACCCAGATAATACAACGCGTCTGTGCAAAACAATTGAAGTATTGTTCTGCAAAGGTTTGCTGAGAATATGCTATAAATTTGCTATGAAATAGAAATAAAGAAAATAATGCTAACAAATATATAGCAAAAACTCGGCTATAGTTGCAGCAAGCAAAGTAGAGATTCTTTTCCGCTGCTATTGTTGTAAATGTATGCTGCAAATATGTTCACAAAAGCAATTATTTAAATAAAATAAACATTTGTTAACAATAAATAATTTATTTAATACATGCAATCTGAACGTGACGAACTTGTATTATTGGAATTATAATGATAACGTATGTATTGTTACGTGATTTTTCGAATCACGGTCCCAAGGCGGCTCCGGTTACCGATACAGATAACGTTCTCGATTTCTGGTTCTCTTCGGGTCGCCACCCTGCTCAGAAGCTACGCTCTAGGGTTGATTCGTACAGTTATGTCAAGGCTCTCGAATCTGCCGTGGGGAGATAGTCTCGACGTACCGAGTTGCCCAAAGAGGAGAGTACCCGACGGAGACGTCTCCACGGACCGGCAGAAGCCCGGGTGAGATACCGGCGCCCCGCTGGAGATGGGCAAAGGGCTGTAGAGCGGGCGGAGGAAGTTTTGATATGGTTAAGGGCAGGAGAGGAACCTCCTGCCCGAGTTAAAGATGTGGTGCCCAGCTGTCGCCCGATGCCCTGGGGAAGCGGCCGTGGAGGATCTCCAAAGATTATGTACCGATTCGCTAAGGAACGCTCTCGATTTGGTTTAAAGGGACGACTCGAAGGAGATAGAAGAGTTATCGGTTATAAGGCTCTCGACCAATCAGAATGATAGTTCTCGGATTTGGCTATTGTCAAAGCAGTCTGTATCGGGGCACCGACCGAGGTGTCACGGGCTGGCTCGTGCTCCCGTGCTATCTGTTGATAGTTTTTCTTGCCGCGTTTCGCTACGGTATAGCAAGTTCTCGATTCGTACAGTTCTCGCGTTGTTCTCGCGATATCCAGAAATTCTATGAATTCCTGTGAGTGTTACGGAGGTGTGGTGCTGTGCCTTAGTGCAGTGCTTACCAGTGTCCTTTGAATACAGTTCTCGGCCTCCACGGATTAGCTGCAACAGCTCCGGTGAGGATTCCCAATTTATTAATTGGTGAAGGGATCTCGGTAGACAATTAAGACTCGTTCTGATACGTTCTCGGTTCGTCGCTCTCTGTCTCTCGCACTATATGCCGGACTCTTACTCCGACCCTCTCTATCTCAAACCTAGCAGCCTGAGCGGCCGTGCATTTCCGTAACCGTCCGCTCCCGTTCGTGTATCCAATTGCGTTTGCTGATTTTACGCGACCTCAAAGATCAGCACCTACGGTTGCGTTTCTCGATTTTACGCGTCCCCAAAAATCTTCAGGATCCGTTAAGCTATCGCCTCGTCTGATAGGTTCCGTCAGAGCTCTCGTTCATGGTGGAGTTGGGCCTGTTCCATCCCAACTCCCAGTTTATACCGGCTCGTCAGTTCCCGGTGAAAAAAGAATTGACTGGCGCCCGCCTGGCTTGCATATGCACGAACGACGGGTGGACGGCCGAAGGTAACGAAGGTTGGTTCTCGAAGATAGTCGTTCCCGTATGTTTTGCTATCGGTGTCGGGTCAAGTTAAGGAAATACGTTACAGTATATAATGTAATTTTAATTTTATTTTTTTTCCTGAATAGTTACTCAAATTTAATATTCATTGAAATTCACAATATATATATATATATTATGACGTGGCACTTTGTGCATGTCACAAAAGAGATAGGAAATAGGCGAAAAACAAAGCTACACCGTGAGGTCCGCAAGGCAACCTAACATTTGCGTCGAGCGTGGACTGAACTTAGCATTAATTATGTGTATTGATTCCCTTCGGGGTTTACATTTTGTATTTCACAAGGAGTGCTCGAACATGCAAGGGAACCGCCACGAAAATTGAACACGAGGCCCGTTATACACCAGCAACGGTCCTGACTACGGCAGAGAGGCCGAGCCAATGCGCCCAGCGGCACTGGCGTGACGTGGCCAACAGGAGAAGTGCTAGCGCGACCGTAGAGCACCACTGGACGAGGCTGCCTACGCAGTAGGACGCCGTGAAATGATCCATTGTAGATGTGGGGGTTGCAGTGGTGGCCCGGAGCCGCACAACGAGGGATAGGATGCGGATGTGATTCCCGCCCGAGAAAAGACACTGCAATCGCCCAGAAGAGGAGAAGATGCTCGGATCTATTTTTCTAGGATCGAGGAAACAATTGAAGATCGCGGGCGAATTGGGCTACGTACGGGATAGCGCGAATTTGATTGAGCCCGAGGGTAATATTCCTCCGCGCCAGTAGGGTACGTTAGTGGACGAGCGATCGGTTAGCGTCACTTGCGGTGTAGCCTACGAATAGTAAGGTGCGTGAGCCAAAACTGTTGTTCAGAGTGAGAGTGAAAAAGAGTGAAAAAGTAGAGAGATGGATAGGAGCGAACTCGACGATTTGGAAAGGGCGATTCAGGTTGAGTGACGCTACCGAGTTTTAATGATTTTGTAATTGATCGAGATTGACGGGATCATAGATTTAGCTACACAGTGGTACGTTTTCCCCGGCGATAAATTCGGAGGTAGTAGGAAGGTAGCTAGGGGATTGAGTATTTCCTAACTGATATTTTTAATAGATAAATAGGTCTCCGGAACTGATTCCGGCATCGTGTTTATTCGTGACGGGATAAGTTGCACGGGCTTAACGACACGCAAATGTTCTAAATTTCCAGCGAGGAATTTACGATTGCTGTGTATTAGTTGTCCTGCCAGAAGGTCAGGTACCGATATTATTACAGCGATTCGGAATTGTAAATATTGTGAAGTTGACGAGTCGAGTACTAGGCCACTCGTCAGCCGATTTTGTAAATATTACTGTATCTACCATTGCGCGTGCATTGCGTAACGCGCGTGTTGTTACCGGAAATGTCCGGCATTCCAGGAGATAATTTCGTGTTTATCCTACAGGATTCCGATCCGCTTAATCTATTACTATTATTATTCACTATTATTATTTGCGTTGTGTAAGGAATCGTTATTCCTCTTTAATTAAATATTAAGGGCCCGTTGGTCTCTATGTAATTAATTGTTTTAAATTATCCATTCTTTTATTTTTGACAGAACCACTGTTCAATATTATTATTATTCCCGCTTTCTAGGTTGTTGAGGAACCGTTGTTCCCATTCGCATTTATTCTTCGGAACCGTTGTTTTGTCTATAATATTATCCTTGGTTTTATAAATTATTTTGGAACCGTTGTTCCTTACGTTATTCTGCTCATATTATTTTTATTATATTATTTTTATATTCATTCTTGTTTTTCTTATTTTTAATAAATCGGGCCCGTCTATGGGTTCCGTTCTTTTAAACGAAACCTCAGGTCCGTTTTGTCTCCCAGGCCCAGGACCCCACCGCATAAGAGCTGGCCAAGGTATCCTCTGACGACAGCGGCGTAACTCTGGTTATGCTTGCCGCCCAATGATTTCATATTTTAATAATTATTTCAGTTGATGCCATTCATATGTGCGATTACGTCGTCACAATCTATTGTGACGTTATGTTCCCTAAAAGATTACTCATAGCAAGGCAATCAGAGTGCGCCACAAATACACAAGACGATACTCTAATATTTCCACGGGAAACTGAAATTAAGAAATCCTTACTATGGTGAATGCCAAATGGGCGCAAGACGCAATGTTGCATCGTGAGACAAACGAAACTCTTGAGAAAATTAAGAGGATTTCGGCTAGTAGGAAAGAAACAGAAAGATATGGTAGAAGGGCGGGGCATGCATAGATGGTAAAAGAAAGTAGATTAAGAAACTATGAGATATTCAATAACAACAACAATAGGCCCTTTTATTGGGGACTTATAAAACCATGAAATTATTGAGTTGGCATGAAAGTAATGGGACACTCTAGAAAACTCGACACATGTCCTTTTTTAAATTAATTTTTTTTGACCATATTATAATATATTGTAGAACATTCTATATACTTCCACTCTTTGGGTATATACAATAGAATATAGTCAAAAACAATTAATTTAAAAAAGGACATGTGTAGAGTTTTCTAGAGTGTCTCATTAGTTTCATGCCAAACCAATAATAAACAATATAACAATGGACGGGAGAAATAAATGAGGAGCTATCGCACGAGATGAGATCCCATATGGGATACGCGAATAAAATACGCTAATACAGAACTATTACACGCTATACAAGGTCCTTGTGAGACACGTAAAACGAGGAGAAATAATTCCATATACGATACACTCTACTTTAGTGACTCACAGGGCTCGAGACAACTAGGTGTCCTCGCCATAAGGC